ACAAACGATGGAAGTCATCAAGTGTTCTTAGTGTCCTCCATCTCTCTATTCTCCCCTCGGTCCTCAGTTGCACTTCCTTCACAGTCTCCTCCTCAGATCTCTTCCTTTTGTGTAAGTGTGCAGAGCTGGGGGTCAGTACTGAGCAGCAACCCAAGGGGTTATGTATGCTAAAAAAGCGTTTTGTCAATGGACTGATCCCCGGCTCCGGACAAGGTCTCATGAACTCATTGTGAAGCTAAAGATGACGCACCTCCCAAGTACGGGATTACAGGTGTGCGCCACCACGCTGGTCCCAAGGCCCTCTTTCACTGAGCTGTCCACACTGAGTTTAAATTTGCTGTGTAGCCCACCCTTGACCATGTGAGCCTCCTGCTTCAGCCTCCCAAGTAGATGGGACTAGAAGCCTACATGCTGTACCTACTTCCTGCCTTTTGTTTTTCGAGACAGTTTCTTTGTGTCGCTTTGAGACCAGGCTGGCCTCGAACTCACAGAGATCCGCCTGCCCTCTGTGTTCTTAAATGATCCTTTTGCCGTTTTCTCTCTTTGGGTCCCTTGACTACTGCTATGTTTAAAAATCCCGGTTAATGAAAAGGTTACTGGAAACCCACCACTGGTGATGCGATAAGCCAATCAGACCGAATTAAATCCAAGTTAAATATGAGCAAAGAATTCCTGGTTGGCCCCAGAGGAACAGAAAACCAGGAATCTCAGGGTGAATCCAGGGGTGGAGCTTTTAATGTCCTCGGGGGTGGAGCTGCCAATGGTGGGTTTTTTAGGGGCGGAGCTTGGACTGAGATTGACACCAGGGGAGGGCTCGCCCTTGGCACCTTGAGGCAGGTGTTTGGAACTGGCTGCCAAACAACTACCACTGCCCAAGAGGACACATTTTAAATTTACATTTTCAGTCCAGTTCTCCCCGAGCTGCCCGCCTCTCCCTGAAAATGTACAGGTGTGTCTCCATAGCCTTTAAGTGATGCCGGGTCACGTGTTCTTCTTCACTCTGGCCCTCCCCCTGCCTCCTGCCCCTGACAAGACCAGTCTCCCAGACAAGCAACCCAAATGCCTGCTGCGCATTCACCTGAAGCTGCTTTCTTATCCTAATGCCATGCAAATCCTGGCAATTCTCAAATGCTCTGGGCCCCATCTCCCCAACCCTGCTCACTCCACTATTATCCCGGACCCTCCCTATCTCTCCTCTGTTCTAGGTGTGACCTCTGTTTATTTTCTGGTTCCCTTCCTACGATCCGCCACATTTCCTGATGTGCAAGCAAGTCTGGTCTCTCTGGAATGGAACTCTACTGAAGCTAGCTGGGTTTCTTTGCCTTTGGAGGAAGTTCAGGTTTTAGCATGGCAAGAAGATATGTAACTAGGAAGCAACAGAGCCTGGGCTGGAATCCCCAGGGCCTGTATAGCACCCACATCTTCCCAGTCTTGCAATGAAGAGAGGAAGGACAGTATGTATCAGTCTAGTCTAGAAACTTTGCCCAGTGCCCTACATGACACACGAAGGCGATTCACATCTGGATATGCCTTCAGAGAGATTTTTGGAATCTGGGTGAAAGTTTAGGCTACACAAACACAAAACTCAACTTGAAGGATAGGATAGATATTGGATCCACTTTTTGCTTTTAAAGAAATGTAGTCAAATCTGCCTAGAGTTTTAGTGTGTGTGTGTGTGTGTGTGTGTGTGTGTGTGTGTGTGTGTCTTGCACGCACAATGGTGGAGGTCGGAGGACAACTTGAGGAGTTGTTTCTCTCCATTTACTTTGCAGGACCCAGGGATGGAACGCAGCTCTTCAAGGTCAGCAGACAGCACTACCCACTCAAACATCTCCAGGCTCATACCTAGTGTTCTAAGTGTCTGCATGCTAGTTGAACCCGAACACTGTCCATTTTACTTATTTGTTGCTGCTGTTCTTGTTTTGAGACTGCCTATCTGGAAATCACACTGTAGACCAGGCTGGCCTCAAATTCACAGAATTCTGTCTTCCTCTGCTTCCTCAGTGCTAGGATTTAAGGTGTGCTTCACCACATCTATCTGATCTAGGACACTTTCAAGAGTCTATCCTAACTAAATAACCATTATAATATTGTAATAATAGGGGTCAGAGAAATGGCTCAGTGGTTAAGAACATTGACTGCTCTTACAGGGAATCCCCAGGCTCTGCTCCCAGTGGTTCCCAGCACCCACATGGTAACTCACAAACTTCAATGCCTTCTCTGACCTCTCTGGACAGTGCATGCATGTTGTGCCCACGCTTACACACAGAGGAAACACTCTACACATAAAATAAGAATCAATAAATCCTTTTAAATAGATTCGTAATAATAAAAGAGGAAGAAACTAAATGCTAATAAAAAAGGAAAATGCTTGCATGGTGGCATATAATGCATATTATACATTTTTATACAACTAAACAAATGACCTTTCTATAGGTTAAGAATAAGTAGCTATGTATGTAGGCAAAATCAAATTAAATATAATAAGGTAATAAAAATATATTCACAGACTAAAAAATTGCCATGTGCATCTTCCATAATAAAAAAATGAAAAAGTTCAAAAAGTAACTTTTAAGAAGGTTTATTTAACTCTCTGGGAATAAAGTAAATATGAACACTAGCAATCTCTGTTCAGCTACAGTATTACTTGTTCTTGCTAGAGCGACTGGTGCTCAACGATAACATGATCCTATTCCCTTAGAGTCTACTCAAAACTATTAGGATAAATAGATAGGCAGGGAGGGAGGGAGATAGATGATAGATAGATAGATAAATAGACAGACAGACAGATAGAGTAAAGCTAGAGGACACAAAAAAGCATGTTTCTATACACTAGCAATGAGCTGTCCAAAAGAAAAGTCCCTTTCTAATAGCTACAGAAAGTAAAATACTTATGAACAGGTGCCATTGAACAACAGAGACCCTGAGAACACATACTAGGAAAACAGTCTGTTCCATTAAGAGCTGGGGAGTCTGGATATCCACATGCAGAGGATGGACTAGACTCTTATCTCAAATCCAATCCAAGGATGAACCCAAAAAGGGCTAAAGACTTAAGTGTAAGACCTGAAACTATGAAAAAAAATAAGGGCTAAAGCCTTAAGTGTAAGACCTGAAACTATGAAACTACTAGTAGACAACATGGAGAACCCTGTGCTGTTGAGCTTGGTGACAGTATTTCAGATGTGACCTCAAACGCTCATGCAACAGAACCAAGACTGTGCGATTATCTCAGACTCTCAGCTTCTGCATGGTAAAGGGAGCAATCAGTTGAATGAAGAGGCCAGTCTGGGCTGCAGACCTACAGGCATACATCTGACAAGGGTGCCACCAAAAATCCACAGGGAACTGAACTCAGTAAGAAAGCAAATAAGTGGATTTAAAACAGAACAAAGACACACCTCTGCCTGCCATTTTTCTCTTTCAAAAGAAGCTGTTCAAGCGCCACTAAAAGGTGGGAAAGCATGTGAAAAGGGCAAACTCCTGTGCACTGCTGGTGAGGGCGCAAAGTCATGCAGCCCTTCAGAACAGCATGAGGCTCTTCAAACGACCAATAGAATTGCCCTGCCTTCGTGTTTCAGAGCTTATATGAAAAGGATTTTAATTCAGTCTGCATTTTGAACAGATGTCTGCGTTTCCACACTCACCATGCCACTGTTCACAACAGCTAAGCTACAGTATGAAGGGGTATGTTTTTAATAGGACAGTAGACAGCCCTTTACGAAAAGAATGTCTGCTGTTTGTGACGGACAAACCTGCAGGATGTTATTCTAAGTCTAAAAAGCTAGACACTGGACAAATACCTAATGCTGATGATTCTCAGTCTCCCTCATGGGCCCAAATTCTGACCCAAATCTAATTCCCTGTTTTTAATTGCCAGAAGGAGATCTCAATGGCATATAAAACCAATTCATTTCTTCTTCTCTCCATCCCCTCCTCTTCTACCTCCCTCCCTCCCTCCCTCCCTCCCTCCCTCCCTCCCTCCCTCCCTCCCTCCCTCCCTCCCTCCCTCCCTCTCTCTCTCTCTCTCTCTCTCTCTCTCTCTCTCTCTCTCTCTCTCTCTCTCTTTGCTTTGGGGGAGGGTTTCATGTAGCCCAGACTGGCTTCATAGGTTTGAACCTATATATTTGAGGATGTCCTGCCTCATCCTCTCTAGGGCTGAGGTTACAGCTGTGCAACACTGTGCTCTTAGGCTCAGGAAGGAGCACGGAGGAGCAAGACTTTGGGGTGACACACTTCCCTTCACATTAGCTGGTCTTTCTCACTCCGTGGATTCACATCTGGCTAGATTTACTCAAAAACTCAGGTTGGGCTGGAAATTAATGCTGATGACCAAAGGAAGAACTTCGCTTCTCCTCATCAGTAAAGAGGGAGTGCTGGGCCTGGCTGTCCCCGCGGCCTAATTTACTGACCGATGCAGGCTGGGTCAGTGTGGTAGATGCACACCAAGCCAGTGTGGCCTTGGAGCCAGGTGAGGCTGAAGGCCAGGCCTCCGGCTAACTAAGCTCCATCTGCTACGTGGCTACGGCTAGGGCAACATGTATCACCCTGTCCTCTCACAGGCTGCAGGTACTGGGCAATCTACTGATGCTCCTAGCTGCATGGCCTGAAGAAAACAGTTTTTAAAACAAACTTAAAAGAGCCCCACATTCATAATTAGTTACAAAATCATTCCCCCAGATTAAAACTTCCATCAGTCCCTAGAGAATCTGTGCAGACATCAGCCATCCTTGGTTTTCAGAAAATGTACAGTATTTTCTTTTCCAGAACCTTTTTTTAATCCAAGATAATTAATGACAAATTTAAGAATATATGCCAATAAATATATAGAGTGTAGTTCTATTACAATGGAAACACCATTGTAGCTTCCTGAAAGGGAAAGAGCAGGAGGGGGAGGGGGACAGGCTTCTGCACAGATGTGGCCATGCTGCTGGCCAAGACTGGACCATGCAGAATCTGTTTCTCATCCTTTCCCCAAGGCCTCTGCCTCCATCACTCACCTGCCTTTCCTGGAGGGCTCATGAATTTCTCTTCCTGGCCAGCGCACTGTGCTCTCAGCAGCCAGAATCCATCCCCACCACAAAAGGAAGATGCCAAATTTCATATTCTGGACAGCCAACATAGATTTCCAAATCAAACAATTCTTCGGAGAAGCCGTGAGAAGGAGCCGGTGAGGAGCCTCTGTCAGTCCTCTCCTAAGGCATCATTGCTGTTTGTTATTAGAAGGATATTTACCCCTGCAAAAATGAAGCCGCAGTCTGTAATCTGGCCAGCGGGAAAAAGCAATTTCCACTAACCCCACAAATCCTCCTGCGTCAGATGTCAGGGATTTTCTGAACTGAGGTTGAATTCTGTGTCCCATGGGACAGTTCCCAGGGCTGGTCCGAATTAGTTCATCAAATGTTGTGAACATGCTCCTGAGGGTCTGGATTTTCAAGTTGGCCAAATAGAAAAAAAGAAAAGTAAACATGGAAATCGGAGACACTGATGCTTACCATGATCCTTCCCTGATCTATGCTTCTAGCTTACTCATGCACGACTTCTGTAACTACAGAGTTGACACCTGGTGGGCAGCTATGGCTGGGATTATGAGAGTGGGGGAAAGGTTCCATCATGGTGAGCAATGTTCCTGTCATCAGCCTCACTGGGCTTTTACATTTGGAAACACCTGGAAATAAATGAACTGCCATCAAGTGTTATCCTTTGATGCTTGCCCAGGATCCTTGGCCCAGGCTTCCATCTCACAGGACAGAGTCAGAGTCTCAGGGAAGAGGGCTACATTCAGGACTCCAATTTATTGACTCTGCCAAGCTGAGCTCACACAATTGAGAACTTTCAGGCTGTACTGGCAAACTCAGTCAGGATTCCCACAACTCCACAGATGAAAAGGCAACCTGAAACTCAGGCAACCTGGGCTGGCCTTGAACTCTCCATATAGTCAAAGTTGTTTCTGAACTCTTGATCTTCCTGTCTCCAGGAGGGTAGAATCTTAATTTAAGAGGCAGGGCCTAGGCCACGTCTTGTGGTGCATAGCTAAAATTTCAGTATCTGGTGAGTCATTTGAAGCTAGCCTAGGCTACCTGGCAAGACTACATTGGTTAAATGAAAAGGAGGAGTAACTGGAGGAGGAGGAGGAGGAGGAGGAGGAGGAGGAGGAGGAGGAAGATGAAAATACAGGAGGAGGCAAGAGCTACCATAGGTTACGGGGAGGAGGACCTACTTCGATCCGATCAATGTAGCTCTCAAAAGACCTTGTTCGTTTCTAAGAATGTAAACTCTTGGGGCTGGAGAGATGGCTCAGAGGTTAAGAGCACTGACTGCTCTTCCAGGGGTCCTGAGTTCAGTTCCCAGCAACCACATGGTGGCTCACAACCATCTGTAATTCAATCTGGTGCTCTCTTCTGGCATGTAGGCAGAACACCAAATATGTAACAAATAAATAAATCTTTAAAAAAAAGACTTGAATTTAAAAAAAAGAGTGGAAACTCTTATTACAAAAGCAAAGGTGAAACCCTGTATCGAAAAACCAAAAACAACAACAACAAAAAACAAAACAACAACAACAAAAAAGCAAAGGTGATGCCAAGTTCAACTCTCTACCCTGCCAGATCCTGCACATCTTTCTCCAGAGTCTCCCACTGAGTCTGCCTGACTCTCCCATGCTACACCCTCCCAGTCTGCCAGATCTAGCCAGTCCTACACCCAGTGCCCTGGCCCAGACTCTGCTGGAGTCACAGCCAACCTCTTCCATCAGGAACCATCCTGCCAGTCCACAAGTCCACAGGCCCCTCCCATACCACATCTACTCCCACACTCTAGGCCTGGCCAGGATGCACATCCTGCACACCGGTCCTCCGTTCACCTGACTTCATTTCACTGAAGCAATTTCTAACCTTTAGACTCAATCTGCCTACACATCTCTGCTTTTCCCCAGCCTGCTCTCTCCATATCAGACTTAGAACTAGCAAAAGAAATCTACATACCCAGATCTCATTGCACAAATACAAACAATATGAACTATCAGTCTGATACCTTCTCTCCCAAACCTACCAGTCCTGTAGAAATGTTTGTCAATGAGAATTTCCCAGACCAATGCCAGGACACAGAATTTAATAGAATAATGATAAGCTTCTTCATATAATTCAAGGAGTTTAAAGAATACACAAGAAAGAACTTAATGGTATTAAGGAGAAAGAACTTAAGGAGAATAAATTCCTGAGTGATTCCCAAGAAAACACAAACGTAAAGCTGATGGAAATGATGAGGACACTCCAGGACTTGGGGATGGAATTCAACAAGGAGAAAGAAATTCTGAAGAAGACTCAAACTGAAATGAAGATGGAATTGGAGAACTTAGTGACCCAAATGGAAAACTGAAAGTAAAGTCTTCGAAGCAGAAGGCAGAATACCAGGACCCAAAGATAAAGGAGAGGATTTAGATCAAGTAAACAAGGAATATGAAAAACATTTTAAAACAAGGGAAAGAAGCATACAGGAAATGTGGAACACCATGAAAATTCCAAACCTTTGAATTATAGATATAGACTAAGAGAAGAATCCCAAGCCAATGATAAAGGCCAGATCTTCAACATGATCATAGAAGAAAACTTCCCCAAACTAAGGACAGACACACCCATAAATTCCAAATAGATAAGATCAGAAAAGACAATTCCCACAGCATCTCACAGTCAAAACACTAAGTCTACACAACAAAGAAAGTATATTGAGAGGTTCAAGAGAAGAAACACAAGTCATATATAAAGGAAATCCCATCAGAATAACTCAATGGAAACTTTGAAAGCCAGAATCTTAGCCTGGGGCAATACATTCAAAGTCCTAAAAGACCATGATGGCCAGCCTACACTAATATACTCCACAAAACTATCCACCATAGTTCAAGAAGAAGAAAAAAACTTTTCATGATATAAAGAGCCTTAAAAAAAAACTACATCCAAAAAAAAAACACAAAGAAAAAACAGAAACAATATTATGAGGTGAAGAGAAGAATGAGCACAGTCAGGAGACCATGAAAAGAAATACAAGCCATGATTACTAAAATATAAAATATCACTACAAACACAAACAATGACAACAAAAACAAAAACACAGTGGCCACGATTGATACATGCATATCAATAATAACTTTAAATATCAATGACCTCAAGTCAAAAGACATAGGTTGACTGCCTGGATCAAGAAACAATATCTGTCTGTTGTCTGCAAGAAACACATCTTTACTCTTGGACAGGTAGGATCAACATCGTAAAAATGGCAATCTTGCCAAAAGCAATCTACAGATTCAATGCACTCCCTATCAAAATCCCAACACAATTCTTTACAGACCTTGAAAGAACAACACTCAACTTTATATGTAAAAACAAAAAAACTCAGGATAGCCACAACAACCCTGTTCAACAAGACAACATCTGGAGGCATCAACATCCCTGACTTCAAGCTGTATTACAGACATACAGTCCTGAAAACAGCTTGGTATTAGCACAAAAATAGACAGATAGACCAATGGAATCGAATTGAACACCCTGACATTAACCCACACATGTATGAACACCTGATCTTTGACAAAGAAGCTAGCATTATACAATAGAAAAAAGAAAGCATCTTCAACAAATGGTGTTAGCATAACTGGATATTGGCATGCAGATGACTGCCAATAGATGTATGTCTATTGCCATGCACAAAACTTAAATCCAAATGGATCAAAGACCTCAACATAAATCCAACCACACTGAACCTGTTAGAAGAGAAAGTGGGAGGTACCCTTGAGCTAATTGGTACAGGAGACCACTTCCTGAACATAACACCAGTAGCACAGACACTAAGATCAACAATTAATAAATGGGACCTCCTGAAACTGAAGCTTCTGTAAGGCAAAGGACACAGTCAATTAGACAAAAAGGCAACACACAGATTGGGAAAAGATATTCACTAACCCCACATCTGACAGAGGGCTGATCTGCAAAATTTACAATGAACTCAAGAGGGAAATCATGGCTGGCACTGGATCTTGGAGGAGAACCTGGTTTTGCTACTTTACTAATCTACACTCTGAATATTTGTCCTTTGACCCACAGGTAAGTATGGTCCTAACCCTTCCTCAAGGAAACTTCTCTTTGCAACAGACAGAGACCACTACAGAAAATCACAATATATATAGATAGTGTTGTGACAGTCGTTTTGGAACCTCAAGAAAAAGGGATTCACCTGAATGTTTACATACTAGAGGCAAAATTTGACAGAATGTCTTGGGCTCGCCTTCCTTGTCTCATTAGGATAGCAAACAATAGATGCTTTTTAAAGGCAGTCTAAGACTTCTTTTGATAATATCTAGACAGAGGCAAATTTGGATTTGTTTGATATTACATGGCTCGATTTTGCAAAAGAAACTGAAAGGGGTTTCTATGGTAAGTGACAGTCTTTGACTGAACTTGAGGAAATAACCAGTTTAAGTCACTGTTCGTCAGCACTGTGGACAGCCATTCAACACACAGAAACAGAGGCAGAGGACGTGATGTCTTCAGTATGAGCTCAGTGTGGTTGGTGAGCTGCAGTGTCTTGCTGACTTCAAGGACGAAGGATGAGGAGGAGATGTTCTGGAGCTGAGGACATCTCGTGTCCAGGACAGCGAGGCGTGGACTGAGGAGTGTGGACATGAAGGGATTTTGGATGCTGGATTGGAGAATGTTTTTCTGAGACTTGGGAGATGAGTCAGTTGCTACAGTGCCTGCTGTACAAGTGTGAGACCCCGAGTTTGGGTGGCCAGGACACACGAGAAGCCCAGGCACTAGCAGACGGTTTAGACAGTGGATTTCTAGAGCTCTCTAGCCAGTCTAACCAACTGGTAAGCTCCAGGTTCAATGGGAAACCCAATTTCAAAAACCAAGGTGAAAATTGCCAAAGGAAAGCACTGGACCTTACCCTCTGGCCTCCACAGGACCCTGCACACACCTTGTCAACCAAGACCACCCTCCAAGTAAAATTGACGCTGTCTTCAGGAATTCTGTTGGGTTGGCTAGCAAATTATCATCATAGCTGGCCAATTGCTTACCTTTCCTCATAGGAAGAGGGATGGGCAGGGATAGGTCTCTCACCTGAGTATCCAGCCACCCCTCCCAATCAGCTGAATGCAGCGCTGCCGTAACTGTGCATGCCTAGGGGTCCTGGAGAGGACTGCAGACTATCGATGGGAAGGATGAGAGGCGACGGCTCCATCTATGTAGCTATGGAAAAGCCAAATAAGC